GATTATCTAAGAAATGTATAAGTAATATGTATAAAAGAGTTAATTTTGGACTTCATAAATATGTATAAGAGTTTATTATACAAAAGTGATAGATTTTTGAAATCTAACTCCTCTCGTGGTATTAATTCTTTGAAGTGTGCTTTTTAACTTGTCATGAGGAATTTTATTTTAGTAATTAAAATTTTAATTTTTTTATATATATTTATATAATCTAATAGAGGAGATGCAATTTTAAGAAATACATAGCAAATTTTCGAATATATCAGTGCTACATTAATAACCAGCTATATATATATTATTTGATTGGTTCAGGCCTTCACCGTCACCATTAAAACAAATCTACTATAGGTCTACAAATAGGTTTGATTTAATTAGCTGACCAAACACCCCAACGTGTATATACATACAAAAAAGTTTGGATGAAACACAACCGGCATTGTTAGAATTTGATTTTATTTCAAATTCAACTATTATAATTTATTAAAAAGTAATTCTCAAGTCTTTTTTTTATCAAGAAATTATTATCTTTAAACAATTTGAGTTAGATTTTGCTGTCAAAGTATTGTAAAATTTAATTAAATGAAAATTTTAATTGAATTTTCTATTAAAAAATTTTAATTCAAACTAGAGGTGTGAACCGCATTGTGGAAACTTTTATTTATTTAGGTTACAAAAATATGTTATTGAAAAACTTTCAAAAAAAGTAAAAGATGAATACTTGGATATAAAAGGAAAAGTAGTAAAAATTTCTAAAGAATTCAATGATTTCAAACAATTAGTTTGTCTTAAATTAGGTAAAAATTATGAAAAGTTTAAAAAATCAAATAGCATTTATGTTAAAGTATCCAGCTTTTAGTCAAACATTAAAGAGGTATTATAGAATAGATTTTAATAATCTTTTTACACTTTCTCTTGATCAAACTCGATCTATTATACTTTTAACCAAAGTAGGAATATTTAAATAATTAGAATTTATTTATTTAATTTATTTTATATTATCATTATATTTGATATTAAATAAAGAATTCAGCTTCAAATGAAGAAATTGTCAAAAGTAGAGGTCGATCCGTAAACTAGTAGTTAATATAAATAAACTGTAGTTTATTGTAAAACTGTAGTTAACTGTAGTTTTAAAAATAATTCACAGTTCGCATCTCTAGTCGAAAGCGATAAGTGGCTTAAACTGTATTGTTGTGATGAAAATTATATTATTGCGAGATCTGTATCACACAAGACATTGCAACACAAACTTTAAAGTTCTGAAAATAAAATTAATTGGATCTATAAAGTCTGTGGCTTAAATATCCATGCTGAAGTTTTGGCAGACAAATTTTTATCTATAATCTAATTATTCTACTTGATTGTGGGAATGCGTTTCATTTAATACATTTATAACAGCGTAAGGTATTTTAAATTATCTTGATCGAGTGAAAACTTTTTTAAATTCTCTTTGGTAATTCAAATGATCTGTAAATAAAAAATAAGTCAAACGAATTAAAAGCAACACAGATAGATTTATATTACAAAGCATTAATGAAATCCAAAATAAACTCTTATACATATTTATGAAGTCCAAAATTAACTCTTTTATACATATTACTTATACATTTCTTAGATAATC